CCCCCCCCCCCCACCAGCCTGTACTCTTATTTTCCTTGACTTTTTTCCATTCTCGTTGGGGAAAAAAATCCACTACCGTAATCGTACTCCAATCGAAACATGGGAAATCAGTTTTTCCTTTTTACTTTGTTGTGTCGCGATAAGAATTTTCGATGTTGAGAATTATTTATTGGAGATGAATTGATGGGGGAATTGCGGTAGAATCAAGCACACAGGAAGGAAATTCCTCTGGACGAAATTTCACGTAAACTAATTCGATAAAATAAACAGTTTGACAGTTTTGACAAATGAGGCCGCATCAAATTATTTATAAAAAAATACACGATATTTTCGGAGACTTTGAGCTCGCAAGTTTTTTTCCATGCATTAATACTCTTCTTTTTGAGATTTTTATGATGAACGAAATTATTCAATTTATTCTCCGTGAATTTTTATTTATCATTCGCTGAATGGCATAAATTTGGCTTCCGTTCATAAATTTGAAATTATTATGCCCCTTTTCCTGTCGAATTCAATATTCCTTTTTTCAATTAATTGTTTATAATCATTCTCATTGCAAATAATATTACTGATGAGAATCATATTTTCCAATTTATCAGCTGTTGAATTTTCATTTTACAGTAAATGATTTGCTCATGTTTTAATTCCTATGCTCACTGAATAAGATTTCAATCATAATTACAATTCAATTCCTTCTAGAACACACTTTAGAGTGTGAATTTCTGGAATTCAATGGTTGTTGATACTCTGGTAAAAGTGCGTGCCCACATCAATTTTTAGTTAGTTCACACGGTAATTCAATTAATCTGTTGTTCATCTCATCAATATAATTCCGTGCTTAGTATATTGTCATCTCGTGTTTTCAGCACTAAATTAAAAATTAAAACTTCATTTGGAATATTGAGTCAGCTTCTTTTTATTCATATCAGAAATTTTGTATTTGGATATTAATATTATTTGCTGAAAGTGAAAAAATCGATCATCATTTTCACTATATTGCATTCAGATTCTCCTATTCTTAACGTAAAAAATGTGAGATAATCTCATAATTCTAGCTATTAGTTCTAATCAACTTTGTTCGAAGAAAACGTTAGTAAACGCAATATTAAGCAAGTAGAATTATTCTATTTTCGTCTGACCTAAATGATTCGGACAATTAGATTCGTTTATTCATGTTTCCGAGAACGGTATTCAATTTTCATTTGCTTGTTACGGGGGCTTCACGAAAATTCGACGCAAGACGATTGTACTCATTAAAACCGCCTTACTTTCTCCATTCGTTCGAGATATCCGTCAAGTTCGACCTCTCATTTTCGATTCAAAATATTGCCCGTACGTTTTTTTTTAGAAAGGATACTAAGAAATACATAGAACAAAATGCGTATGTAATATTTACAATGAAAAATGTTGTCAATGTGAATTCATTTCCCTCACATCCGTAATTTCAGAGAAACGAAAACGACTAGGGGATATGCGGAAACAAGTGATGAGTCTGAGGGACAGGAGTCGTGCACAACTGTAGCGACTGCCGTGTAAATCGAGTGAACGTAACAGCATTGCTGAGACCAGAGGACAGAAGACAGAGAGGAAAACGTGGGTTACATAAAAAATAATTCGATGAAGATCAAGGGGACTATCTCGTTGAATTGGCTGACGATTGTTCTTTTCCAGTTTGGATCTGCTGAATTGACAAGTGGACACGCCAAATAGGGGGCACAATGGGCCCGGGATCATCCACGGTATACCCCTGAGCGATGCAAGTAGTTGGGGCTGTGGCCCTGCTAGTGAGCATGTGGCTCACTAGAGAATGAAGAAGCAAAACGTCCGGACCCTATCGTTGATCGTCTGCACGTTCACCTACCTCCTCGTTGGCGCTGCAATATTTGACGTCCTCGAGTCCGAGACGGAGAAACGGCGCAAGGAAGCGTTGGATGGTATGATTTTTTTAAATCTAGAGAATTCATTTTTAGTTGTTTTATTTCATTTTTTTTTAAATGAAACACAAAAAGAACTCACAAGGTCCAGAAAAGTTTCGAAACTTTGACTCGTCTGCCGCAAGACACGAGAAACGAGACGAAACGAGACAAACGAGACGAGAAGAGTCATTTGAGACAATGACAGAAACGATACGAGACGAGAAAAGCCGTTCGAGAATGAGAGAAACGAGAGGCGAGACGAGAGTCGAGAGAGCCTCCTCCTCTCTGCCCCTCTGTGTATTTTTTTCCGTGCAAATTGGATTATAGAAACGAGATAAGGCGAGACGAGACGAGACGAGAGAATCTCTCAATTCTCGACGAGACGAGAAAATGGTTTCCTAACAACGAAACGAGACGAGAAGATGCAGTTTCTCGTCTCGTCTCGTGGCATCACTGCGTATTAGGCCCAAAAAATGATATTTTAAGAATAAGACCCACACAAAGCCCATAAAATGACGGCCCAAAAATACTGGTTAACGGATCAGACCCAAAATGAGATCCGCAAAATGATGCTTCAAGAATCACGCCTGAAGTAAGATTAAAAATAGAGTTTTGCGGTCAGGCCCAAACTTCATGAAACCCAGAAAAGATTTGAGGGTTCGACCCATTTTTTCAGATGTTTAAAATGTTTTCTATCAGTTCAATATCGAAATTCAAATTCAGACCTGCCAAGTTCAAATAATAAAATCATTTTCAAATGATGATGTTCGGCTAGAAAAGTAGAAGAGCATTTCACCGGAGAAAAAATAGCCAAAGTACTTGGATATCCTTCACAAGAAATAAATCCATAAAAGCGGAAACTTCTTTTTATTTCTGTCTAATTCAATCCCCGCCCCTGTTGCAGCCATTGAACGGATGGTTATACGCAAATACAACATAAGCGAGGACGACTTCAAGATCATGGAAACTGTCGTGCTGAAGACGGAGCCTCACAAGGCTGGCCAACAGTGGAAATTCGCCGGTGCTTTCTACTACGCAACTACGGTCCTCACAACAATTGGTAAGTATGAAAAAACCAACGAAAAATGCGAGATAAAGACTTAACGATTCCCCTTTACAATTTTTATAATTCCACTTAACATCAATAGTTCATCGCATGTATTTTTAACCGAGTTGTTGTTTATCGCCGTAACCCTTGAGATTAATTCACCATTTTTACTCTCTCGATAATAAAATTGGATGGAAAGTGTTTTACATCACGCCTGTACTTTTTCCCTCATTCTCATCACATTCTCCTACCCCCGTTTTATTTTCTTTATTTTGTTTTTTTTTATCGAGCTTAACTTTCCATTATCAGGTTACGGGCACTCGACGCCGAACACGATAAGCGGCAAGCTGTTCACGATGTTCTACGCGATAGTCGGTATACCCCTGGGTCTCGTCATGTTCCAAAGTATAGGAGAACGATTAAATAAATTCTCATCCGTCGTTATAAGAAAAGTCAAGCAACTACTCAATTGCAAAGACGTACAGGTAATGGAGCATCATTTATCGCCATAACAATTCGTCAAAATATCATTTCAGTCGAGAACATTTTTTTCCTGGTAGACAACTAGATAAAATTGACGAAATTTTTTAATTTCTTGAAATTATAATTATTCGCTTTCTGAATTCAATCATGTGATGTTTAAGAACCAATGGTTCTTCAAGAACATTATTATATGCAACTGATGGCATTGGAAATGTAGAAAAATTCCACAAAAAATTTAAAAAATACAGACGGAATTTTTTTTCCCATAGAATTAATTTTTGCAATTTTTTAATTCAAACAAACGATATTTTAAAATGAAAAAGAAAAATTCTTTTAATTGAGATTAAATATTTTTTAATTCGAAAAATGTATTTTTATTGCGAAATTGATAAGAAATATTTGTCCATTCGCAAAAGCAGAGAAAAATGTTCTTGAATTGAGATGAAATATTTTTCAATTTGAAATGTGTTTCTCCATCGTGAAGAATGACAAGAAATTGAAACTAACACGATCCCCTTATTTCTCAATTTCTCAAGGCCTCGGAGATAAATTTAATATTCGTCGTGACATTTTTATCGAGTCTGACGATAACAGGCGGTGCAGCAGCATTTTCACGCTACGAGGGCTGGTCATACTTTGACTCAGTCTACTACTGCTTTATAACACTAACGACCATTGGTTTTGGTGACATGGTGGCACTCCAGAAGGACAATGCACTCGAGACAAAGCCCGAGTACGTTGTCTTTGCACTGATATTCATTCTTTTTGGTTTGGCCATTGTTGCCGCATCGTTGAATCTACTGGTGCTTAGATTCGTCACGATGAATACGGAGGATGAGAGGAGAGACGAGGCGGAGGCACTTCAGGTGAGAAAATCCACTTTTCTCATGATATTACAATTAATGTTGAACACTGGGATTTTTTTCAAGGGAATATGCACTCGTAAAATCCGCAAATTTCAAGGAATTTCATCACTGACAATTCACAATTCGTGAGAAAATCAATGAAAACTACAGATTTCAGTTCAATGTAATCTTGAAAATTTGGAATTTCATTATTTTTTCGTAAACTAGCGCCCAGAGTTGATGCCGTTTGTCCATTAATAGTTTATAATCATTCTTATTGCAAAAAGGAATACGATCAATGAGAATCACATGTCCCAATTTGTCAGCTGTTAAATTTTCATATTACAATGAATGATTTGCTCATGTTCTAATTCCTGTGCTCCCTGAATAAGATTTTAACCATAATCTTATAATTCTAGCTATTAATTCTAATCAACTTTGTTCGAAGAAAACCTTAGTAAACGCAATATTAAGCAAGTAGAATTATTCTGTTTTCGTCTGACCTAAATGATTTGGACAATTATAATTCGTTTATTCATGTTTCATGGAATGGTATTCAATTCTCTTTTGTTTGTTAGGAGGGCTTCATAAAAATTCACCGCAAGACGATTGTACTCATGAAAACCACTTTACTTTTCCCATTCGTTCGAGATATTTCCCATGCTTTTTTTAGAAAGTATAGTCCATGAATGACATAGGATATAATGAAGAATAATAATTCATAATTGAATTTCATACGAAAATTGAAGAGTGTTTGCATCGCAACGAATGGCGCTGCGGTATAAACACTTTCCCAAAATGACTCCCCATAATGAAGCGACATACGTATCCACATTAAAAATGTATTCTCCTCTGACAGCATGAAGCATTCAAAAACCTCGAATTTTGACATTACAGGCGGCGCAGGGAGCAGTGAGACTCGAGGGTGACGTGATAACGGCAAATGGCTCGATATTATCTGGCCAGATGGGCAATCAGGGTGATACGATATCACTGTATGACGATGCATCAGTATGTAGTTGCAGGTGCAGTGGTTTTTACAGAAAAAGAAGGAGACCACGTTTTACAGTACGTCGTTCGCCCGGCAAAATATCACATCTGCTGCCGATGCAGCAGTTTCCGGCCTCTAGTTACAGGGAGGATATACGTCCACCACCCCTCACACCACTTCTACAACTGCCGACTATATATCAACACAGAGCTAGCATCTGACGTCCACCATCGGTCAAAACTCTTCCCATACATGCTCATGAGTTTATTCAGTACCAGGCGCGACGTGCCTCCGTGTAAAATTCGTAATAGCATTTTTATTTTTCGTTCATTCGAGTCAACAGTTCAACAATAAAATACACGGGGGAAAAATCCTCTCAAGACTGAGTTTGTTCTCAATTGGGGGGAGGTTCATCCCGGAAAAAAAACTTTTCCTTTTCTCGAGGAAAAATTTCTCAATTTTATTTTTTGCGGTTTTCCTCAGGAATTCAATTTTGCAGATCAAAATGAGAGATTTTAATTATTTATAGCAGAGAATTCAACTTGAAAAAAATCCAACACATTCATTTTTGGAAGTTCTTTTTATATGATTAACAATTTTTACTTCTTGATTATTGAAAAAGAATAATGTGCATTTTGAAATTCATTTCAGCATTTTTTGATGAATATCTCGAAATCTAGGGGAGATAGCAAAATTTTTGTCATAACCTTTTTTACAGCCCTCAGTTCGCTCTACAAAAAAGGTTATTATGAAAATTTCATTATCTCCCTTAGATTCGCAGATATTTCTCGTAGCGAAGCGGTTGCAAAATAGCTCAAGTCGATTTGGACTACTGGCCAGTTTTCAATGAATATCTCGAAATTCAGGGGAGGTATCAAAATTTTTGGCATAACCTTTTTTACAGCCCTCAATCCCCTCTACAAAAAAGGTTATTACGAAAATTTCGTTATGTCCCTTAGATTCGGAGATATTGCTGGAAAACTCAGCTAAGGGCTGAATTTCAAAATTTCAAAATGCATCTTGTAGAGGCTAAAATTGATGATCATATTTTTCGTTTTTTGAATCGTACTTCTGAGGAAAAATCATGCCAAAAATAGCCTCTAAAAAATTTTCCTCACAAGAGGAAAAAAAAATCCCCCTAAAAAAAAAATCTTGACATGTGATTTTTCTCCCCTGTACGAACAATCGTAATCTTTAATTTCCAAAAGCCAAACCAATTGTAATTAATTACGAGAATTAAGGGTACGGTGATGAACAAATGAAACAAGTATAGATAAATCAATTGTGATACGAAAAAAAAAATAATTCTATAAATAATATAAAATGGAGCAAATGCATTTTGGGGGTTAGAAGGAGGGAAGTAGAAACGGGTCTGCTCTCTTCAGACACTTACACATTCCGTTCTCACAATTGACATTTATTTTCGGGAAAAGTGCGACTCATTTCCAAGTTTTCATGCCATTCCCCCGGTAAATTTTCAATATCCCGATGATTACGATAATTTCGTCACCCGAGAGCTCAAACGCAAAAAAATCCGATCCACATATTTTCAAAAAAGCCCCCACCACATCACCATCACTGCGAGACTCAATGAACCGATAGTTGGGAATGATAAATCCTTGTACAAAAAATGGAAAAAAAGTAATCGAAAGAGATTTGATGATTCGGGGAGAAAGATTATAAATATGATGGCGTGCAAGTGACCATGTGTTCCGTAGCGCAAGATTATATTTAAAGAGGCACACAGATTATATATATATACAAGAATATAAATATTATAAATAAAATGAATTAATTAATAATAAATTACGTTCAGACTTCAGATAGTGGAGAAGGGGTGGGAGAGAAAAAAAAATGATGACAATTTTTTCATTGAACAAATTTTGCAATTTGTATATATAAATTAAATATGAAGATATAAATACAGGATAGTTATTAGGTGCTACGAAAACGAGTTGAGGCGAACCTCGTGCCTCCATGTAAATATTAAATATAAAATCATAAAAAAAAATAATAATAAATTGACGAGTAAATTGAATAATTGATAATTACTGGGAATTAATGAAGGCGACGAATGAATCTCAAATTTTACACTCTCCCTAATTTTAAGGTGATGATTAAAACAATGAAGAATACACGTGACATCATCGCATTGAACTGCGGATAATTATGAATTTAAAACATTTGCTTCAGTGACAGTTAAAAATCATCTATTGACGAACCAATAACTAGATCATTGTAATTGAGGGGAAAAAAATGGAGGTTTAGTAGAAATGTTACTATTAATCTATAATCTTCCACTATTTCTAATCTCCGTCGACGAAGAAGAAAAATCACTTATTTATCGAATCTTTATCTATTGATCAGACAAGTTGGATTTTGGGATTTTGGTAGTTGTGGGGTAGTTCGGAGGGTGGCTGTAATGATTAGTGCATCTGAACGTGCTTTTGAGGAAGTTAAAACGGGTTGTAGAGTTAATTGCTGGCTAAATTAGAATTTTTGGGGGACAGGGGCATGTCCAGAACTATAAATGTGGTGATGAAAAAATCTCAAACAAAAAATCATCATTAAATCGGCATTAAATGAAGAATTAATTGGTTCTCCTATTTTTGAGAAGTTTATTATTGATCTGTTAATTTTTATTGTACTTCCAAAATTATTGGTTTAAAAAAAAATTATGTAAAAAATTAAATTTTCTAAAAAATGCAATAATTTAATTTACTATTCTTCTTGATATTCTATTCTAAAATCATTTGTTGTGGAGATGATTTCATATTAATTATGATGTGAACAATTGAGTTGTTCTGTTACATTTCAGAATTTTATTATTGATCTGTTAATTATTGTTGCAAAATATTGTTATGCAGAATTGATTTTTTAACAAAAACAAATTTAATGTTTCACAAGACATGCCAAATTAAATGGTTTTGTTACGTTTTACAACTCCAGAATTTTTAAATTTTTTTTTTTTAAATGTATTATATTTTGATTCATTAATTATTAATCATTATTAAATAAAAACTAAGGTCGGCAAAGATCGAAAAATAGGTGTAGAAAAAAAAACTTGATTTTCTACTCCAAAATGATTTGTTATTGAGATAATTTCATATTTAATATGACGTGAAAAATCAATTTGTTCTATTACATTTCCTAACGTCATTGTTGATCCATTAATTTCCATTTTAAACCGAAATCTAGAGAATTAAATTTTATTAAAAAAATATACTAAATTATTATTCAATAAAACATGTCAAAATGAATCATTCTGTTTCGTTTTACAACTCCAGAATTTAGTGTTTTCAATTTTCAAAGAATTCATCATATTTGTATCGATTAATTATTAATCAACATTAAATAATAATGACTTGAAAGCAAACGGGGAAAAATTTGCGACATTCCCCTGTTCCCCAGAAAGGCAATTTCCGCGATGATAAATCCAGATGAAAAGAAAATCCATAGCTTATTAATTAATCCACCGTCGGATAAAATACACAGGGGTATACGACGGAGCTTTAGTTAGAAATGGGACGCAATTAGTGATATGGGGGAAGGGTGATGTGCTTTTGCTGGTTTTAAACGAGTACAAATGGCCATAAGTAATGAGACACGAGGTGTTTTGAAGAGGAATATACTGTACAACAATGGAAGTGGGATTAATTGAGATTTTGATTGTAAATTGAAAATTGTAATGTACATATTTCTGATGAATGAAATGATAAACGAGTGAGAGAGACAGCGAGAGCGAGAGATTTAAAGATAATGAGATTGTTGAGAGAAATAAGGAGATGAATATTTCGTCATCATTCGTTGTTATTTTTGTTGCATTCAATGGGTAAAATAATTCATTCGCGTTATCATTGTCCTCGGCTTTATATCATCTCCTCATTGAGCTCAATGGGTGTTAATTAATTTGGTGATCTTACGAATTATGGATATGGCCTTCGTAATGTCATGTCGCTGAGAAAACCAGCCAAACATTAATTAGGTATCCTTGCACAGTATATGCACGCATATTTTTATCTCTTATTAATTATTCATCTTCTTCTTCAAACTACTATATCCACCCACTCTTGTTCTTCGAGACTCAGATGACGAGAGGGGGAAAAAATATACGAGAGCGACAGAGAGTTGGATAACTGTAAAAAGATTTTTTTTAAGTACGAGAGAAATGAATCTTCGAGATATTGCGCTTTGTTAAGGATATCCAAGGATCTTTGACAATTTGGTACAGATCTTACTATAGATTGTTAAATTTTTGATCGTCAAATTCGTCAATTGAATTGCGTGAGAATTTGAAAAAAATCGTAAATATTCAGCGTTATATAAATTACAATTTGCACAGAATTATTATTTTTTTAAACATTGTTCGATTCCGAACAAACGATTTTTATGGAAAATTGATTGTTTGTAAATTATTGATAGAAAATGCTCGTAATTTTTAAAATTGCAATTTTTTAATTATTTCATTAATCTTTCTTCAAAAATAGACTTTCTATTTTTTAAATTTTTCACAGAATTATTATTTTTTGAAATATTCGTCGGTTATAAATAAATAATTGAAATTGTTTAAACTTTCGAAAACTTTATTTTTTTAGGCGTGAAATGGATTTCTCATAAAATTCTGAATATGAATAAATTTGTTACGATTCTGAACAAGTGATTTTTATGGGAAATTGATTGCTTTATAAATTATACATAGGAAATGCATGTAATTTCCGAAAATTGCAATTTTTTTTTATTTCATCAATCTTCCTCCAAGAGTAGTAAACATTCTATTTTTTTTCAGATTTTAAAAATGTATTTTAATAATTCAATATCGAGATTCAAGTCCAGACCTGTAAAGTTTAAATAAGAAAATCATTGTAAAATGTCCGGCAACGCAGGATCAAATGGGGCTCAAATAAAAGCTCTGATGTTCGACGGGAGAAAAAATAGGCAAAGTACTTGGATATCTTTAATACGTCGTTACACATTTTCATTCCATCGTCGATTGATGTTTTTATGATTTTAGCTGGCTAAAACGTGACGTGGAAAATAATAATACCGATGAAAATGAGACAAACTGATGATTCATTAATATTAATTGATAATTGTACAAGTCGCCAACGAATTTTAGACCAAAAAAAAAAATCATTGAGTTTTACGAAAAAGCGTTAAAACATCCCAGCGTCGACGACTACTAGTGAGAAACTGAGGAATAAATAACCGAAAAAAGGATTGT